CCCTTTCCAGATTCCCTCTGCATCCTGGGGGTGATTCCCAGCCCTTTCCAGATTCCCTCTGCATCCTAGGGGCAATTCCCAGCCTTTTGCAGATTCCCTCTGCATCCTGGGGGCGATTTCCAGCCCTTTGCAGATTCCCTCTCCATCCTGGGGACAGGTCAGGGCTTGAGCCAGCACGGGGAAGTGCTGCCTGGTCAGCAATTGAGAATTCCCTGTGCCCCTGACCCTCCTCCCACAGCTCCCAGGCACAGTTCAGTGCCCTGTGGAGCCTCCCGGGGCTCAGCAGTCCTATAAATCCTTGGCACAGCTTTTCCCCCTGTCAGGAGCTATCTGTTTCCATGGCAAAGAATAGCTGTATTTATGGTCACTCACCATCCAGGGGGATGTGAATTTATATCCTGCAGAATCGCCTCTCCGTGCTGAATTGTAACTGAGCCTCCAACGAGGAACAATTGTAGGGATTCAAATCCCTGTTGGACAGTTTTCCTTGCTTTTTAAAGCCCATCTCTTTTCCCAGATGTTATCAGGCTTCGATGTGGAGTAGCCCCGGGGCTTTTGCCATACCTGGCCCGGGGGCTGGCACATACCTGGAGCCATCCCAGTGGGATGAAGCCCCTGTGTGTGGAGGGTCCCTGTTGGAAAGAGCTCATGGCTCCCCTAAATGCCCCCAGCTGCTGATCCCCTCCCTAGGGAAGCTCCAGCCCCCTTTAACAGGATCTGGGCGGGTCTGTCAGCTGTGGTGGCTCCAAAATCCCGATCCTGGCAAGGACACCTGGGTTTGGCTGTTTCTGGCCGTGGACAACCTGCTCCAGCCCCACTGATGGGAAGGGGAAGGTCCCAGCTCTCTGGGACCCCAGTTCATGGAAACATAAATGACTTCGGGATGGACCAAGAGAAGGGATCAGATTTTAGGATCTCACCTGTGGGAGATGATTCTGGATTTGGCTCCACACCCCTCAGACACGGCCAGGGCTGGAGCACAGGCTGGGCTGGGAGAGCTTTGCTTGCACAGAACGAGCTTTATGAAGGTTTTTTAATTCCACTGCAGGAGACAGATCAAATTACATGAGAGGAGCAGATCCGTGGCTGAAAAGGTCTCTTATTCCCCAAATTACTTTTCCCAGTTCACTGGAAAGGAAGCGGAAGGAGCCACTTGAAACATCCCAAAGGATGATTTACTTGCCTGGGCAGAGTCCAGTAGCAGAAAAATCACTTTTATATTTTGTGAGAGGAGCTATAAATGATGGTTTAACAAAATATATAATAATACATAAGAATAAGTAATAATATTAAGCATCAATTTATTATTAAGCATAAATAATGATAATGAATAGTAAACAAAAATAAAAATTAATATATAATAATATAAGCGGAAGGAACCACTTGAATCATCCCAAAGGATGATTTGCCTGCTGTGCAGTCCAGGAGGAGAAAAATCCCCTTTATATTTTGTTCTAAAGCATAAATGATGGTTTAATAAAATATATAATAATAAGCAATCATTTATTAATAATAATAATAAAAAGTGGATTATAATTATCAATAAATAATTATTATAATATCTGATGAATATATAAATTTATATAATTTAAAAAATAAAAATATTAATATAAATAAAATGAAAATTAAATTAAAACCTAAAATAAAACAAACCTATGTGTATATATAGTATTATATATAATATATAATGATATATAATGTAATAATAATAGATAACAATAAATATAGATAATAAATAATAATTAAAAATAAATAACAATGTAAATTATGGTTACTAATGATAGGAGATGGTTTTAGGAGGATGCGAAGGTGGAAGAGGAATTCCACACTCTGGGAGTGAAACCCCCTGGTTCCCAGGTGGGTGATCCCTGCCCTGCTTCCCAGCTGCCACTGGTGTCCGTTCTCCCCTGCAGGTCCACGGCTGTGGGGACAAGGCCAAGGCCCACGCACGGCAGCGGATCAGCCGGGAAGGGGTCCTGTATCCCGGGAGTGGCTCCAAGGACAAATCCCTGGACCCAGCCAAGCGAGCCCACCTCCAGCGGCGCCTGGACAAGAAGCTCAGCGAGCTGACGAGCCAGAGGAAGGGCAGAAAGAAAGACAAGGAGAAATGAGGGACCTGAATCCCACTTTTTTAACCTCAGAGCTGCCGCTCAGCCTTCCCAGGCCGGAGCTGCTGAGCCCTGGGGGGAGTGGGGGGCTCGATTTTGGGGGGAACACAGCCTGGAGCCAGGGGCTGGGGAAGGATCTGGGGAGGGAGAGGTGCTGTATTGTCCTGGTTATCCGTATGGACACAGTGATGGATGTTCACAGAGGCTGGAGCTCACTGGTACAACAGGCATTAAACACCCAAAGCAATGAGCTGTCACTGTCACGTTGACTGATCCCTGTGGCAGCAAAAGATGAATGTCTGGGAGCAGGAACGTGGGAGGCACTGGAAACCCCGGGTGACCCTCTGCTCCGGGGAGGGTGACTAAGGAAATGGATGCCAGCCCAGCAATCCTCCAGGAGTGACCTGGTGTGTCACTCGTGACAGCCCAAACCCCCTGGGGCTGCCCCATCCCCTCACACCCGGGAGAGGGGCTTGGCAGGGGGCTCAGCCCTGCTCCGGGCTTGCATTGGGATGGGCATGGGGAGCTCCTGGGACACCAAGATCCACTGGGAACCCCACGGCAGCGAAGGCAGGAGGGAGCCTTGTGTCCCTCCCAGACCTTTTCCCAATCCTGTACCCCCAAACTAATCCATCTCTCACGTTGCTTCCTGCCAGTTGATCCCCATTTCCAAAGCCTCTCTCCATCCACACACAGCCCCTGCCCTATCCCCTCTCCTTGCTGGCTCCAGTCCCACCCACAGGGTCCATCCATCCCCCCAAAAAATAGCTCCAGCAGCATTTTTTTGCCCTCAGGATGAAGGAAAAGGTGCTGAGGTGCCTTGAAAGAGGAACGTCCAGAGAGGGGCACAATAAACAGCCCCAAACCACATGTTCCCCATCATTTTGGGACTGAACATCACCGATGTTGCCCGGGGTGATTCCAGAACCTGTGGAAGTCACTCACCTCATCCCGAGCAAGGCTCAGCACTTGGCAGGAGCTGCAGGACAGCCAAGGACCTCTGTGTCTGTCTCTTCCCAAATGCTGGCTGCAGTAGCTAATAAGAAAATTTTCTCCCAAACCTCGGGGCCTGTGAGTACTGGCTGTGAACAACTTCCCAAAAAACCTTCCTCAATCCTTCAGAAAACCTCATCCTTCCAGCCCCTCCATCCTTGGCTCGTGCCTCGGTGCCTGGGGCCGGCCATGTGTCAGCCACGGAGCGATGGCACCAACTCACCTGGCAGCAGATGGGACAGGGGAGCTCCTGGAGGGGAGGGTGGGGAGGAGGAGGAGATGGAGCATGGGAAAGGGAAATCTGAGCAAAGACGGGCATGTACGGGAAAGGAGCCAGAGCAGAGGGGCATGATGGAACAGGGACATCACAGCCGTGTCCCAAAGCAAAGGTCAGGCAAGACAGACGAGAAGGAAAAAGTGTCACCAGCTCATGGGATAACTCACCTCGGAGTCACCTTTAATCAGGGGAAAATGGATAAATGGCTCATTCCCACTTTTTTCCCCAGGCAGCCACATCCCAGTGTGTGCTTGCCTCGCGGTGCTGCTTTCCTGGCACACGGCCCCCAGCTTTCCCAGCCTGGCTCCCCACCAGCATCCTGCAGGCAGGGAAAAGCCGAGGCTCCAGGCAAGGGGGGATGCGGCCCCAGGGCATCCCCTGCCACGAGGGGCTCCAGTGGAGCCCTCTGCCTGTCACCTTTGAGCCCGAGAGCTTGGAATCCAAGTCCAGCCCCCTCCTTGCAGCCAGCGGAGATGGGCAGGGATTTACTGTGTGGGAAAACAGATGGAAGGAGAAGCCATATGTAATAACAATTGCTTTTTCTGCTCTTATTGCTCCCTTTCTCCATTCTCGCTGGAAACGTTCCGTCCCCAGCACGACACACTGAAATCCCTCTTAAGAATCCCCCCAGGATCACCACTTGCACCGAGAGGAGCCACGCCGTGCTGGCATTTATCACCCCCCTCTCCGCTGCAGCCTTAGAGTCCGTGTTTGAGGATTCCACTGATTTGAGGCTGCTGGGATGCTCAGCCCAGCCGTCTGGGGAGGTCCTGGCTGGTTTTGGTCCTTCTGGGCTCCTTGCCAGCGGGTCTGTCCATCAGTCCCCATGCATGGGGGACCCAGGAGGGCAGAGATGAAGCCACAGAGTCGCTCCATCCATCCTCGGGGTGTTTTAGGCAGGAGCTGCCCCTCTGAGGCACCGGCAGCTTGGCCTTTGGGGTGGCACAGAGTCCTGCTCGGCCCCTGCCTGGCGGCTCCGGTGCCCGGCAGAGCCGGCGTCGGGGTGCAGCCCCTCCCAGGAGCCCCCCTAATTCCTGCGGAGTGGGTGCCACATGGACACAGGCTTCCTCAGCGTGGCCAGCATCTGGTTCCAGTGCGTGGTGCCCATCCCACTGGCGGTGGGGCCGATGAGCACGTGGCCCGTGTTGTCACTGCGTCCGTCCTCGCCGCTCTCGGCCACCGTCACGCGCAGGGACAGCTCCTGGGGGGCACAGGGGTGTCACCACACACCGGCCCCCAACCCGGACACGTATCCCTGCGCTCTTCCCAAGTGTGCACACACACACACACACACATAGTGCCAGACCGTCCGTACTCCCTCCACCCCATAAATTCACCCCCAAAACAGCTGGACCCCACATATGGCCCTCTGTGCTCCCACCCTCTTCAAACCCACTCCCTGCACTTGAAACCTCCCCCAAATCCCCCCATACCACTGTATATACACACCCTCTTATACCCCCATACTTACACATCCTCCTATTTTTCCCACATCCCCTAAATCCAGATATGCCCCTGTCCACATACACAACCACCCCCCATACATATGCACACCTTATATCCCAGCCCACACATCTACATCCCCCTACAAGAGTCCTCCACACACATCCCCCTCACCAGACACTTCCACACATCCACATCCCCTCCAAACAGCCCCCCACCAATCCCCCAAAAGTCACCCACACCCACATCCCCCCCATGTCTGCTCCATGCCCTGGTCCACTAATACACTGCCAAACCATCCCTTCACACCCATGGCTCCCACAGCTCCCAGGATCCCCCCAGAACCCCTCATCCTCCTGGAACTCCCCACTGAAGGATTTGGGGAGCTCGAGGAGGGGTGGGATGTGCCCCCTCCACCCCCCCGAGCTGGGCCAGACCTGGAGCACGATGGCTGGCACGGAGAAGATCATGGCCTCGTTGAACACGGGGTTGGTGTCCCCCCTCTTCACCGCCGTCTTCTTCTTGCTGATCTTCCTCCCGTCCTGCAGCAGGTACACCTTGACGAAGGGATCTGCTCGAGAGGTGGGGGAGAGACCCCATGGTCAGTCACACATGTCCCCAGGGACGTGGAGAAGGGGGCAGAGTCCCCTCCCTGGTGGCCCTTCCTCAGCGGGAGCCGCTCCAGTAAAGATCTGTGTGGTCAGTGGCACAAACCAGGGCAAACCCCCTCCCACAAGCCCCCCATGCCCACTCACCTGCGGTCACCTTGCCGTTGGTCCACACGAGGTTCTTGGCTTTGACCACCACCACTGTGAGCCGCTCGGCCGTGGGCAGGTAGCTCAGGGAGAGCAGGATCTCCCCCACCGTGTCCACAGGCTGCGGGACACAACGCCCCGTCACCCACCGACCCCTGGGACACGCCCCTCCCCCCGAGACCCGAGGTGGGAAACGGGGCACCCCCCCAGCCCCGCTCACCTTGCTCAAGTCCTGCAGGTAGAGCCAGGCGTTGAAGGGGCGCGTGGCCAGGTCCAGGTCGGAGAGCTTGAGCTCGGCCACGCCGGTGCTGACGCTCCTCTCGTCCTCGTCGATGCCAAAGACGGAGAAGCGCAGGCTGTTCTCCTCCAGCGCCGCCGGGTCCAGCGGGATGGAGAAGCGCTCGTCAAAGGCCACGGCGTAGGCACTCCTCTGGATCTGCCACGGGAAGGGGAGGTTGCCCTGGCACCCCTCGGGTTTAGGGGCCATGCCCAGGACCCACCTTGTTTCTCCTCACGGGAGCTGCAAGGAGCGCGTGGCCTCGGGGGGTGAGGGCATCCCTGGGAACAACTAAGTCACGGAGGGCATCCCCAGCCTGACGGAGCTGGGGGGTCCCAGCCTCCATGGGGATGAGTTATTTCCCACCCCACCCAAGCAGCCACTCAGCAATCGGGGCAAAAATCAGGGCCGTGACCTGCCCCCAGCGCCTGTTAATTCTTTTAATTAAAAAAATCGAGGTTGGTCGGGTGCTCTCAGATCCATCCCGGCGCCCTGAGAGCTTGGATGTGCATCCGGCTTGGCAACATCTGGCTCCAGGATTTTGCTGAGGGGCTGTAACCCCCAGCTCCACTCCGAGATGGAGCTGAACCAATTCCTGAATGTGCCCAACGGGAATGGTGCTGGTCGGCTGACACTGTTCCTGTGCCACATCATTCCCTGGAAGCAGAGGCAGCAGCAGCAGCTCAACACCCATCCTGAAGGTGTTGCTCCCAAAGTTGGTATTTCAAACCCCTCCATAAGCACCGCCAAAAGCTCCGACTGGGCCTTCATCTGTGGCCTGGGGGCAGCTGAGGACAGAGTGCTGGTGAATTATAAATAATGATGCTAAATAATAAATACCTCTGGAGCAAAAACGAAGAGCCTGAGATTTGGACGGAAAAATGGTCTAAAAGGGCACTGTGGAAATATTTTGGAGGCAGCAGAGGGTTTGTGTGCATGGAGCGGCACCTCATCCCCCACAGAGGGGTTTCTTGGTGGGATGAAGATTCCAAATAAATATCCTGATTGAATCAAACCGGCTGACCCTGAGCTCTCCAAAAAGCAGCTGCTGAAGGAAAACTGAGGCTCCTGCTTTCTGAGACCAGCTTTTGGGGCACTTAAAAAGAGAAGTTTTGCCCCAAATCCACCCCCAGTTGTGGACCTGACATTGCACCCACATGGATCTTTCTGCATGGAGAGGGAAAAGCTCTGGGAAGGAGAGGGATTGCAGGGCCTCGGGGGACTCAGGGGGCTGTGGGTACTCGGGGGGCTGTGGGACCATGGCAAGACACCAAGAGCACCTGCCCAAACTGCCACTGCCCCCCAGGTTCCACCCCAGGCCACTTCTTCCACCTCCCACAGCATCCCCGGCACTTGGAGCAGGGCAATTCAAGCAGGAAAACCTGCCACCAGGCACGCTCGGAGATGACAAAGTCAGCCCAAATCCCAGCCAAAGGGGAGACACCTCTGCCTCTGCCAAGTCTCTGATGTGCAAATCCACTCTGGGGCACCCCCCAAAATCCTGTGCCAACTGCATCCAGTCCTGATGCACCGGGAGCTTCCCGCTCCCAAACCCCCGTCACTGCCCTGGGAAGCTGAGATCCTCAAAATCCCACGCCAACTATGTCCAGCCCTGGCACGCCTGAAGTCTCCTAATCCCAAACCTCAAACTCCCCACTTCCCTGGGAAGCTGAGACCCCCAAAATCCCATGTCAACTGCACCCAGCCCTGATGTGTCTGGAGCTCCCTGCTCCCAAACCCCCACCACTGCCTTGGGGACTGTGTCCAAGGGATGCTGCCAGCCAAAATCCCAGGCTCCGCGATCCATGCTGAGGTTCCGCAGGGGACCTGGAGGGACTCACCCGGGAGATGCCGACGATCTGCTCGGCCGGGAGGAGGCTGATCCGCATGAAGCAGGACTCGAACCGCGCGTCCTCCTTCTCCAGCAGGTCCTTGCCCTGCAGCAGCGTCACGTGCAGGGCGGCCGCCTTCCCGTCGTACTCCATGGACACCTCCACCTGCCCCACCGTGAAATCCTGCCCAAAGTTGTTCCCGATGGACGAGATGGAGTTGAGGGAGTCGGCCGAGATGGATTTCTTCAGGGGGCCGTAGTGGGCCAGGCCCAGGTCTCTGCCCATCAGCTCCAGGCTGCCCAGCTCCTGGATGCTCTCCAAGGTGTCCTCTGCCCTCAGGCTGCTCCTGCGGCTGGCAGTGCTCTGACCCGGCGTCCGATGCGAGCCCGGGGCCAGCCCTCGCTGCCAGGGAAAGGAAACCAGGCGATGCCATCCCGTCCCTCCAGCTGGGCTTCTCCGGCGCCTCTTTGGATGCCTCCCGGCCCCTGCCTGGCCTCAAGCTGCTGCGGCAGCGAGCCCAGTGCCTCCCGCAGCTCCCAGCTCCACCGATCCCCCCATACGCTCCACCAGCACCGGGTCGCTGCCCGTGGCCGTTCCCGCTGGGAGCCGGGAGATATTTTCACCCTTCCAGCATCCCACACGTTGCAAAGGGAAGGAGACCAACCCGACTTTCCCCCCTTTTACCTTGTGCCTGACGTCCGGATACGCGGCTCCGTACTTCTGCTCCAGGTACCGGTAGTCATAGTTCGGGAAGGGGGAAGGGGCCGGGTAGCTGCCGGAGCGCCAGAGCTTCCAGAGGTTGATGGCTGCGATTCCCAGCAGTGCCAAGGCGCCGGCGGCGTAGAGCCCGATCTCCCACCGCGGCGGGCTGGAGGCCACTGGAGGGGAAAAGGGGCTCCATGAGCTTGTCAGGACCCCCGGGCTGAGCCTTCAGCCCCAGCCGCTTCCGCGCCAGGAACTCGGCTCCAAGCTCCGAGGACGGGATGGGCCAAGGGGGGACAAACCACAGCTCCCACCCGGGTCAGGCAGCGGCTTTGCCAGCCAAAAAAATGACAGTCCCGGCTTGGCTTTCTCGGGAGGTGACGCGCTCCTGCTTCCCAGCCCCGCTTCCCAGCGAGTGGCTGCATCACTCCCGGGGTGCCGGGGGTCCCTTCGCCAGCTGTGGCTCCGTCCCACCGACAGATGTGCCCCGTGTGCATCTGCATCGCCCTCGCTGCTGCCTGGGTCCCCACGGGCTGGGGATGCCAGGGAAATCCAGAAATAGGGAAAACCCAAACCCAAAAGCTGCTGGAAACGGGGGCAGAGCCCCCCGGGTGCTGCTGGAGCGAGCGGGGAGGGAGCGCCGGGCTCGGCAGCGATGCTCCAGCGAGCGGTTCCTGCTGCATTGCACCAGCCTCCATCACTCCCGCGCGGAACCGACACCGACCGCTCCGGGGAGCACAAAAACAGCGGGAAAACAAAGCATTTCTCATCCCAGAGCGCTGCCGAGGAGCCCTCCGGCATCACAGCGCGGCGCTCCCTCCTTCGGAGCCGGAAAAAGCCCAAAGCCAGGCTGAACTCCCACATCGCATCCGAGCACAGGCACAACCTGCTGCTCCCCCCAGCCCTCCTCCGGCAGGAACAGAGAAAGGATGAGCAGAAGGAACTGACTATCTGCATCCAAAGCACCTAATCCGGATCCTGGGAGTAGCCCAGAGGGATCTCGGGGGATAAACCTCGGGGTAGGAGCCAGGCCCTGCTTCCTCCACCTCTCCCCAAACCCCATAAGGACTCTGATTTATCCCTGCATCCCAGCTAAGGATGCTGGGGGAAGAAGTCAGAGGTTTCCTGTGCCAGAGTTCTCAGGCTCCTGCTACGACAGAGGGGCAAAACTGGGAATAAAAATAAAATTGGCAGAATAATCCTTTACTGGCACCTACTTCTGAATAACTCCAGGTACAAAAATCCCAGCTGAACTGCAACCTGCTTCCTCCTCATTCCTGCCCCTTTCTGAGGGCTGAGCAATAACACTGGAAAACTTGGGGGTTTTAAGGCTTTTACCCTTGTTTTAGGAAACTAAACCCCATATCTTGGAGGCTTTAAGGGTTTTACCCATGTTTTAGTAAACAAAATCCCACAGGCATGTGGAGCAGAGGGTTCTCTCGGTGGGAAGCAGCGAGGACCAGCCATCCCCCCCAAAAAGACCTCGGTGTGAGCCCGGCCAGCTCTGCCCCAAACCCTGCCCGGGCTCTCTCGGGAGGACTCACCGCTGAAGCGGGATCTGCTGACGTGCCCGGTGTCCATGGCAAACACTCCCTGCGAGCGGGACAGCCTGGAATGCGCGAGACACAGCGTCAGGATGAAGGCAAATCATTCAAAAATCGAACGCTTTGTGATTTTCCTGCAGTGAATGTTCCATCACTGCTCCCCCTCCGCTGCTCCCGGCCTTGGCTCCTCTTCCAGGCGCTGAGCAAACACGCTGAAGCCTCTCAGCCAGCGGCAGGAGCTGGAGGAGGGATGGAAACCACTCGGGAAGAGGCAGAGCCGCTTGATTTACCTCGGGAGTGTTTAATGGGTGACATTCCCGACCGCTCTGTGTGTGGATGTCCCCTCTCCAGCAGCCCTTAAAGCCCTTTGCTGCTTTTCCAGCTTAAATCTTCCTCCGCCTCCTGCAGTTTGCCAGACTCTCCTGAGGCTCTGCCCTGGCCCCAGGTGAGGGGGGCAGTTCCACTCCCCAGTTTTGGGGTTGCTGCAGGTGATGCCATTCCCCAGGAATCAGCTCCTGCAGTGGGAAAGCTCTGCCACCTTCCCCCCATGAAGGGGTTTTCCCAGTCGAGTCATACGAGAGATCCATCCTAATGCAAGGAAGCTGCTCCTCCAGGCAGATCCCAGTGAAGGCACCACGGATGCCGAAGGGGATTTATCCAAGACAGCTATTTCCTGCTATACAAAGGGGGTTTGAGATCCCCAAAAACACCCAGCAAGCAAATCTAACAGGAACTGAGCCAGAACGCTCCCTGGCATCCAAGCCAGGAGATCACAGCCCATGGGATGCTGACATGATCCCACAGACCCCACAGGGACACAACCTCAGCACTGCACCTAAACCTTCTTCCCATCCCCCTCAGAGCCCCCCAGCCCCTCTCCAGAATTTCCACAGCTCCAAGCCTACTCATGGCACGGGAGAAGGAGCTGGGTTGGCCTCAGGCAGATGATCCCGCAATATTTGGGTCTCACTTTCCAGCTCCTCTTGGGTGCTCACAGCTTCAAGCACCCTAACCCTAACCTTCCCCAAAACCATCCAGGCTTGGATTTTAACAGGCAAAGGTGGGACTAGCAGCGTGTTATAGAGGAAAATATGAGCTGTGCTGGCCTGGCCTGGCTAGGGACCCTCTGCAGGGAAACGCGGCCCATTGTTGGGCTTACAGGAGGAGGGGGGGTCCTAAATGCAACCCAAAGGGACAGCGAGGCTGGGGTGGGGCTGGGAGACACCCAGCTCCTCCCCAGCCTCCTCCCACCGGCACAAACCTCCCCAGGCAATCGATAAAACAGGAATAACCCAGCTGAGAACGTGCTGAACTCGTGTCACACGTGGGCTGAGCTCAGCTCAAGGGATGCTCTGCTGTTTGGTCCTGAAAACGGACATCTAAACAGAGCAACACGATGGAGATTTGCCCTGAAAAGCTCCCATGCCCAAGCAAGGGGCTTTCCTCCTTTCCACGTTTCCCAATGCTTGGTTTTTTTAATATGAAAATAGCAAAGTTTTCACGACCGACTCTTCCTGCAGGAGGACAAACCTCCTCCATCTCTTTCCATTTTCTCTTGGATATTAAAAAGAATTTCTGATTTTCCTTTTCTTTCAGAGCTTCTCCCCCCAAACCCTCCTTCTCTAAGCAGCAAGTTAAGCAGATTTCCGAGGCATCACCTGGAAAGAGACTGCGGTGCTCAGCACTAGGACGAAATCCAGAGGTATTTTCCTATTAGGAAAACAGCATCAGCCTCTCCTGAGCGAGAAAACGGAGGTGGAGGCGCTCGGGGAAGGATTCATGGCTTTTTTTGTAAACTAAGCTCTTCCCTGGAGCATTTCACTGAGCTGCTCTGACATCCCCCTGACCTGCTGCTCAAAATCCTGGGAAATCAAACCTGAGGGATTTGGAAGGAACTGGCACCATTCTCCCACTGCCGGCAGCTCAGGGATAGGTGGATTTCTTACCCACAGACCTCAGGATCAGGGTGCAGAGCCCTGGTTTGGGGTGCAGAGTCCCAGCACAGGGTGCAGAGCCCTGGTTTGGGGTGCAGAGCCCCCAAACAGGGTGCAGAGCCCCCTCCATCCATCCTAACACCCCAATACTCAGGGCCAGGGCAGCTTTGTTTTCCTTGGGAGCTGCTGCAGACCTTGGGTTCCTTTTCCTGCTTGGAGGGGCAATAAAACAGCTCGATGAGGAGGGAGAAACAGCATCAAAGCCGTGTGTCCCCCCTGGAAAGGGGTACCCCCCAACCTTCGGGACTTGTCACCTGGCTGCTGTTTTGGCACCACCACCAGCTGAGGCTGCAGGCACAGAAACCAAATTGCTGGTCCCAGAGCACCGGGACCAAGCCGGGTACGACCCCTCCCCGAGCACGCTGCAGTCCCCAAATGTCCCAGTCCAGGTTCCAGCCATCTCCCTGCTCATCCATCCCTCCCTGCCCTGCCGGGTGTGCTGAGCCCGGGCTAAACTCGGCTCGCTGGTGCCACTGGTCCTGCGGCTGTGCCCACCCGGGCGGGGCTCTGCCAGCCCCTTCCATCCCCCTCCTGCCCTGCCTGGCCTCCATCCGCAGGGCACAGAAGTGGGATGGAGTTCGCTCTTGGCACAGATAAAGACGCATCCCAAACTTGCCAAAACACAAGGATTTGGGCTCTGCGCTCACTCACAGCCCTCCCCGGTCCCTCGCAGGGGACCTATCCCACCCCCATGGGCACCCAAACCGGCGGCCTCTACCCCTGCACCCCCCGGTTCCTCCCGCCGCGTTTTACCTGGACAGGTACAAATCCTCGGGGATCTGCGGGGAGCGCGGGGATCCCCGGGGTGTCCGCTCCCACGGCGGGGGGAACGCGGCGACCGCCGGGGTCCGCCCGGCCGGCGGTGGGGACCGGGCAGAGCCCCCTCCGCTGCCCGGGGGTCCCTGAGCTCAGTCCCGGGATCCAAGGAGCTTCCTCCCTCCCGGGATGCTTCCCGACGGTGAATACCGGGCAGAGCCCCCCTCTCTGCTGCCTGGGGGTCCCTGTGGATTGGGAGCTCAGCCTCAGGATCTCCGCCCCCCCCCCCCCAATCCGGGATGCTTCCCGGCCGTGCGAGACCGGGAGCGGCTCCGCTCCCTCGCCCAGCCCAGCCCGGGGCGGAGCCGGGCGGCACTGCCCGCTCATCCGTGCCATGAGCTGGGCGGTCTCTGCGCTCGCCAGACCCTCCCCGGGGTTTGGCTTAACCCAGCCCAAACCCCCCCACCCCGGGCAGAGCAGAGCGGGGGAGAGGCGACCTCCCGGGGCGGAGGGAGATTCTCTGCCCTGCCCAGGGGCGAGGGGTCTGGGCACCCCGGGGAGGGGATGCAGGGGTCTCTCACTCTCGATTTGCCTCCCAGGCTGGCAGCTTTCCTTAGGAAGTTGTCATAAAAAACCCAAAAATCCCACCCCACAAACCCACCCCAAATCCCAGCCAGGAGCGTGGAGGGACAATGCCAGCGCCCTCATCCCACACCAGAGACCCTCCACTGCTTGCAGGCAGCTCTGGGTACAGGGGGCTTCCCCAAATTCCACTTCCCACTGCCCAGGGACCCCCTTGCCCATCCCAGGGCACCTCTGCATCTCCAGCTCCTCCTCCTCGTGGATCCTGATGAGTGTTTCCATGGGGACCCACATCCCCTCCCACTGCCCCTCAAAGCCAGGGGGATCATCACCCCAGAGCCAAATCCTCAGGTCCCAAACAGCTTCCAGCTGGGTGTCCCTCCTGGCCCTGGGGACACCTAGGGCCATCCAGCAAGGTCTTGGCTCTGGATGTTCCTGAGAAAACCCATCAGATCCTCTCCCTCTGCAGCAAAAGGTGGAACCTTTCAGGATTTGGCCCAAAAAGCCCCTTGGGCAGTTTGGAGACCAAAGGCTGTGTGCCCACCACATCTGTGACACTGTGACCATCTGCCACACTGCTCCTACACACCATCCCAGGGGATCTTCCCTTTCCCTGCCTTCACACCCATGTTTTCAGCCACCTTACCTCAAATGCCAGGTGACTTCCAGAGCATTAAGGAGTCATTTCAGACAGCAGGAGAATCGTTTTGCTTGGAGAAAATGGAATAATTGCAATTTTGTGGGGAGAAAAGCCCACGCATCCTGAGCAAAGGTGGTCTCAGGGGCCACGGAGCAGCGTGACGTTCCAGAGGAGCTGTAATTCCCAGAACACCCCTGACAGTCAGCTGCAGGGCCAGCTCAACCCCCGCTGCAGCTCCCTGCTCCGGAGGGAGGGCAGCACTGGGAGAAGGTCCCACAATCTTCCCAGTGGGGAGTTCATTTTCAGGGAAAAAACAGAGCAAGTTTCAACTGTGCCAAAAACATCACCTGAGTGGGGGGAGCTGCCTCATCCTGCAGCCAAGGGTCCTTTCCATTGGGCTTCCTGGCCTTTCCTCTGAGTGTAGCTGGAAAAGAGCAGGCCATGGTCTTTTCAAAGTTCCCAAACTTCCTCTGCATCCCCAGGAATGGGACAGGGTGTCCCCTCCAGGGCACAGCCCAGGATTCAGCACCCTCCTGCAGGGCTCCAGCCTCAGGGCAAAGGTGACCCCCCAAGCTGTTCTGGACAGGACGGGGCTGGGATGAGGTTTGGAAATCTCCAAAGGCCCCACCTGGATTTATCCAGCCTCACACAGGCACCAACTCACTAAACACTCCTCCCTTTCGAAGCCAACACTTACCTTTGGTCAACATCATTACAAAGTCCGGGTGTAACCGCAGGTGGGACAGACCTGTTCCAGCTTCCTGACCCAGGAGAGTTGGATACATCTGTGTGTGGAAGCAGGAGCCTGCCCCCTCTGCCCTCTTCACAGGGATGGCCCTATTTTAGGCCACCCCAAACGTCATTCCCACGAGGCCTGCTGGCTTCCTTTCATCTCCTCCCCATGAGGCTGCTTTGAGCACTTCGAGGCGATCACAAAGGGATTCCTAAACCCAGGTGAGTTTGCAGTGATCGGAGCCCACCTTTTTCCCTGAAAACTTGGACATGTTCCTTACCTGGAGGCGCAGCATCCATCATCCATCCAGTGTACTGAGGGCGGGGACACAGCCTGAGCCCCCTCAGCCCCCCAGCTCCATGTGTGAGGTGACAAGAGGGGACCCAAGGGCACACGCTGTCCGAAGGAACACGCTGCACACAGGGCTTTATTACACAGGCAGCATCCAGACTACCCCTGGGAGCTGTCAGATGGATGCAGGCGAGTCAGTGTTTCCTGTATTAGGCAAAAAGCTCCAGGATATTTCGGGAACAGCAGGGATTCCTCACCAGGTGATGCCAGCACAGGCCCTCTGGTGGGAAGGGTGTGCAGTAACAGGTCCCCCTGGGTCACCTGACCGCCACCCCAACCGGTGATTCAAGAATTCCATGACGCCCATTGCTCACTTTTTATGGCTGGGAAGTACCTGGGACACTAAAGCTGGGAAAAACGCAGGTGTTGGTTGTCATTCCCATACAAGATCGAACCAGATCAAAACCGTGGATGTTCACTGGGCAGCAGCTCTGCAAGCTCCTGCCACTTCCAAAATCCGGGGTTACGCCCTTGGAATTACACTGTGGCATTTGCGTCATTTTCCTCTGGATAAACACTTCCCTGGAAAAGCACCCTTTGGCAGCCTGATTGGATCAGAGCATTTAAGCAGTGACAGGGTGACACCAGTGCCCGGGACAGCGCCGTGAGGGCTCAGAGCAGAGGGCTCAGAATCCATGCTCACTGGAGCTCTTACATTTTGGAATAACGACCTGGGAAAAAAGAAGCAGCCCAGGTTTCCAATTCCTTTTCCAGGATGCTGAGTCACCAGCAGAAACACTGCCTGGCTCAGGATGCTCAGACCTCCCTGGCCACACCGTGCCAGGGACGACACGCTTGGCCTGGGCCTGCTGCTGGCAGGGAGGTGGCACAGGGACAGAGGCCGGGCGTGGGACTGCAGGGAACAGCTTTTCCAGCTGGACTCAGAGATTCCTCACTCTGGAGCCACCCTGGGAGGAAAAGGGCAGTGACGAAAGGTGGCAGAGCCTGAGTATGTCAGAGCCCAGGAGTGAGACCGTCCTGGTGAGGACACAAACCCAGCTGAGGACAAGGCAAATAACTTCAGACTGACGGAGCAACTCCCAGTTTCTGCTTGTGACACATTTTACTCCGCAGAGCGAAGGCAGGTTGACCTTTCTCACTTCACCTTCCCTTACATTTAAGAGATGACCAAGACTAAAAGAGAAATTAAAAATAAGAGCTAAGGAGAAGCTGCCTGTCTCCCCAGAGCTGTGATACACCACAAAACTACCACAGGCCACTCCAGGATGTTGGAAGTCAGTCAGATCCCCTGAGGAGGGGCTGGACCAGCAGTGTAGTGTGGTTCATCCTGTGCAAGGAGCAGCTTGGTCACAGGGCTCAGTTCACCTGCGTTCATCTCGCTGAACACTTCACCCAATCCTCCTCCACAGCTCCAGGTAGTTTCAGCAGGAAGGAAAGAACTCATTTCCCGTGCCTGGTCTCTGTACAGCCCAGAACAAGTGTTCCTAATGCCCGAACGCCTCGTGGAACTCCCACAGTTCTCTGGGAGAGCAGCAGATCCCTGCGTGCTGTGCTCCAAGCCCCCGTCTCCACACCCGGTCTGGAGGACACACAGCACCCGCTGAAGGTCCCTGTTGTGCGGTGTTGGTTCTGACTTCCCTCCACACAGACCTTCTCCGGCGACACCAGGAGAAAGGGGGGGGTGTCTGTGCCATCCTTCCCCCCCAGGGGATTCCCACACGCTGGAACGCTAACAATGACAATTAGGAGTTAGGGTGAGGTTGGGACTGTGCCCCAGGCCCGCTCGAGCACCACAAGTTCCCGTCAGCCCCGTGGCTGCTGCTCAGAGTTTCCTCTCCCGGGGTCTGTTCCCGTTGGGCTCATCCAGCAGCGCCGAGTGCCGGTCCCCGTTGCTCAGGCATTTGTCCTTCTCGTGCCTGTGCTCCTGCTTCTGCCGCCGGATCTCCTTGTACCGCAGGGTGATGTCCCTGCAGCAAACACACAGCACACAGTTCCAGCCTGCATCACGAGCAGTAAGGAAGTCTGCCCTGAATGAAGCTCCCTTGGGATAACTTAACCCACTGGAGCCTTCGGCTGACGTTTCTACAAGTGCTGATGGCACTGAGGCACTGGAGGTTTGTGTTCCGTGCTGGTGGCCTGGCTCTTCTCACCTCTGCCACAGCACAACAGCTGCTGTTGCCTCCTGCACACATCACTGTGGTTCAAGGAGTCATGGAATGGTTTGGGTTGGAAGGGACCTTAAAGCCCATCCAGTTCCCACCCCCTGCCATGGGCAGGGACACCTTCCACTAGACCAGGTTGCTCCAAGACCTGGCCTTGGACACTTCCAGGGATGGGGCAGCCACAGCTTCTCTGGGCAACCTGTGCCAGGGCCTCACCACCCTCACAGGGAAGAATTTTTTCCCAATATCCCAACTAACCCTACCCTCTGGCAGTGTGAAGCCAGTGCCCCTTGCCCTGTCACTCCACTTCCTCATATGCAGAGTCCCTCTCCAGCTTCCCTGTAGGTCTCTTCTGATACTGGAAGTCTACCAATTCCTTGAGCCCTGTGCAGCTGCTTTCCATGGACTTGCTCAGAGCAGCATCCAAACCAAACACACATCACTTGGCTCCCTTGTCCCGATGCTGGGACAG